AAAACGTAAAAATGTTTGAAAATTTCTCAAGTATTGGATGAACAAATTTCTCCCAATACTTGATCCAGGAGTTTCCTTGTCTTCTGGATTGTGTTAAAAATGACAAGTCTACGTAGTTGAGCATTAGTAGTCGTAAGCCAAAAATATCAAGTCGGCTGTTCAACGACGGTTATAAAATAAAATAAAATATTTGCAATTAAAATATTGCAAATTTGCAATTACAAGCAATTTAAACTTGAACAGTGTTCTTAGAGAGAATATCTTGCATTTCCTTCGAATAGTATAATCACTTGGATTTGACAACCAGACATATTTTCATTCCCCCTTAATAAATGGTATGAACGCACAAAAAAAAATTGTAAAGAACAACATACGTTCCAAAGGAAACGCACATATCGTTTGCTAAATGCACCTGTACCTCACGGTTCAAGGTCAGAAAAAAATCAACCTGTGTGATGGTGGTTTACCGTACTCAAAGACGAAGAGCGGACGGAGGCTCCGTTTCCTGTTTCCGCCACTCGACGCTTGGTCGGTTTGTGGGGGTGCAGGAGAACCAACAGGGAAAAACATTCTACAAAATCAAACACCAAACGAAACTGTTTCCGGTCGACGGAGGGGTGAAAAAAAATTCAAGAACGTGACTGACCAACGTTCAAATAGAATCATTTGTCAATATTACTGAGAACATGTCGGGAAAAAAAATTGTTTTTTTAGAAAAGTTTTCTAACCTCTCGTAGAATAAAGAATTTGAACACTCTAAGCAATTTGTCAAGAGCTTTTTTTTATTAAAGAAGGATTTATTTTATTACTTACCTGTATTACTTACAACCTGCATAATTATATTACTCACCTGTGTTATTTGATTTTGCAGTTTAAAAGAGAAGAAACAAATGGGGGGGGGAAGCATTTTTTGAAACTTCACCGCCAACGCCCGAACAATTTCTTAAAAAATATAATTCTGATTGAACTTCTTGTAATTTGCTGCCAATATCCCAGCAGCTTCTTAAAAAAATTTAATTCTGAAAGGGGTACTTCTCTTGAAATTTGCTGTTCTCTTGAATATTGAAATATCCCAACAATTTTTTGAAAAAAGTTGTTGATTATGAGAATAATAACAAGATTAGAAATTTAAAAGATTAAAAATTTTCAAAGCCCCAGTAAAAAACTTTCAATTATCTTTAATAAGCAATTATTTTTTATTTACTTATTTTTTATTTTTCCGTTCGTTGTTTTTAATTTAGTATACTTTTAAAATATTTAAGAAAAATTTTTTAGTATACTTTTTTTCATTGAAAATTCCTACTGACCAATAAACTTTTTTTTTTAGATTTTTTGTAACTAGCCTATTTGTAAAATAATATTCTCTGCAAACTTCTACATAGAAAGGGGAATAACTTTAAACTTTGTTTTTTTAAGAAATTTAAAAATATTGTCACATTATATTCACGAGAAATGAATATATAAAAAAAAAATCAAAATATCTTTATAAATATTCAAAATAAAAGTTAGAATTTTGAATAGAAATTTTTTTTATGTTGAACTTCAACGTGTAAAAATTTTTTGTGTAGAACAGTGAAGTATCATTTCTGCTAAAAAAAAACTGATAAGTAATTTTTTCTCCATAAATTGCAGAATTTGTAACAACTTTAATAGCATATATTTCATGCAAAGATAAATATATATCGGTTTTTATATTCAGAATGAAATATCAATTCTAAAAAGTACTTTTATTTTTATTTTTTTTTATGTATTGAAGTTTTTACACATTTTTTAGAAAAACCCAACGCCCCCTAAAAGTTTACAATGCTCACTGGACATTAAGATGCATTTGAAACGTATGGTCTAATAGGAAATTGTAGACATCGAAGAAATTTTCTTGAAATGTTTTAGAAAAAATCTTCTAACTTAAAAAGCCATAAAAGTCAAGGATTTGAAAAGTCGATATTAAAAAGATACAGCCATAAATAAGATTGAATCTCTAAATTGTTTTTAAAGAATTTAGCAATTAAAATTTGATAAAAAGTATAAATGAAACAATATTTTACTTGTGATGCGATAAAGATGATTCTCAGTGATTGTTTTTTAAGTGGTTATTTCTTTTAAATAAGCAAAAAGATTTTGATTTACTAACGTCAAATCAAATCTTAAAAGATTGCCATGAATGTATGTAACCATTATTTTCTCATTCACAGATTCATAACAGTAAACATTTTAAGGGATTAAACGCACAACTGTATAAGACATTATTAAAACATTTGTATTGTAATAAAATAATTAAAAAAAAAGGTACCGAACAACTTTTTCTTTGAGGGTTCATTCTATTGAAAACCATCATTTTAAATTATTCATGGCACCCAAAAATTTTAAATCAATTATAATTTCAAATACTATTGAAATTCTTGTTATATTAGAAAAAGGAGGGGGGAAAAAAACAGAATTTTTTTTTTCAATGATAAATTTATCACAGCATCATGATAGATTTATTATTGTTGTTGTTGCTGAGGACATTAAGGCAAAAGATGTGATTGTTCTTGTTTCTAGTGGCGGCATCTATGGCGGAGAATTCGTCTTCTGCCACACCCATACGTCACACCCGTTCATAGAACGTTACTATTAATTCATCCACATATCGTAATTTTGATCTGAACCAGAGAAAGATCACTCTCTTCAGTACACCCAAAGGTATAAATTGTTATGGGAGTATGGAGGACATTGTGACCCGACAGATTTAACGTGCACCAGTCACCATTTACTACACAGGGAGTCTTTGGCCTATTGGATTCGATCTTCCGTTTTCACGGACAAATTTATTAAATTTGAAAAGTAATGGCAACTTTATTAAAATTGAATAGCNTTTCTGCTAAAAAAAAACTGATAAGTAATTTTTTCTCCATAAATTGCAGAATTTGTAACAACTTTAATAGCATATATTTCATGCAAAGATAAATATATATCGGTTTTTATATTCAGAATGAAATATCAATTCTAAAAAGTACTTTTATTTTTATTTTTTTTTATGTATTGAAGTTTTTACTCATTTTTTAGAAAAACCCAACGCCCCCTAAAAGTTTACAATGCTCACTAGACATTAAGACGCATTTGAAACCTATGGTCTAATAGGAAATTGTAGACATCGAAGAAATTTTCTTGCAATGTTTTAGAAAAAATCTTCAAACTTAAAAAGCCATAAAAGTCAAGGATTTGAAAAGTCGACATTAAAAAGATACAACCATAAATAAGATTGAATCTCTAAATTGTTTTTAAATAATTTAGCAATTAAGATTTGATAAAAAGTATAAATAAAAACAATATTTTACTTGTGATGCGATAAAGATGATTCTCAGTGATTATTTTTTAAGTGGTTATTTCTTTTAAATAAGCAAAAATGTTTTGATTTACTAACGTCAAATCAAATCTTAAAAGATTGCCATGAATGTGTGTAACCATTATTTCCTGATGCACAGATTCATAACAATAAACATTTTAAGGGATTGAACGCACAACTGTATAAGACATTATTAAAACATTTGTATTGTATTAAAATTATTAAAAAAAGGTACCGAACAACTTTTTCTTTGAGGGTTCATTCCATTGAAAACCGTCGTTTTAAGTTATTCTTGACACCCAGAAATTTTAAATCAATTATAATTTCAAATGCTATTGAAATTCTTGTTATATTGGAAAAAGGAGGGGGGAAAAAACAGAAATTTTTTTTCAATGATAAATTTATCACAGCATCATGATAAATTTATTATTGTTGTTGTTGCTGAGGACATTAAAGCAATAGATGTGATTGTTCTTGTTTCCAGTGGCGGCATCAATGGCGGAGAATTCGTCTTCTGCCACACCCATACGTCACGCCCGTTCATAGAACGTTACTATTCATTCATCCACATATCGTAATTTTGATCTGAACCAGAGAAAGATCACTCTCCAATTCAGTACACCCAAAGGTATAAATTGTTATGGGAGTATGGAGGACATTGTGACCTGACAGATTTAACGTGCACCAGTCACCATTTACTACACAGGGAGTCTTTGGCCTACTGGATTCGATCTTCCGTTTTCACGGACAAATTTATTAAAATTGAAAACTGGTAGTTAGGTTGAATTGATTTAGGTTAAATACAAATATATTCATAGAAGAAAGCAATTTATGATAATCTAATTTTTAGCGATTAATTATTTAAAAAAAAGACGTGATGAAATGATGAATGTAAAAAAATGCAACATGATTCGATATATTCCAGTGTAATTCACCATTTTATTAAATTTTTTTTTTTTTTTTGATTTACGACTACTAATGTTCAACTCCATAACCTTGTAATTTTGAACCCAATTCAGTAGACAAGGGAACTCCTGGATCAAGTATTGAGAGGAATTTGCCTTCCTGGTGGACTTTTTTTTTGATGGAAGAACCACCCACGGTTTGTCTGATGGCAAGGGCACTCTAACCCATGATCCGTCTACCACTGAGGATATTTCACGTCAGCACTGTGGTCAGTGCAAGCTGGATGCGGAATTCGTTTCGACCAACCATCGCTAGGGATTCGAACCCGATTCGTCTCATTGGAAAGCGAACGCTCTATCCCCTGAGCCATCGCGGCTTTCCAATAGTTGTAGAAAATCGCGCTAATGCATTGTGAAACTAAGTATGTTAAGCAATAACTTGATTACTATTACAATTTAAGTATTGAATACGTTTTGGCATGTATGATGTGTGAATAAAGATTTAATAAATGCTATAATAATTGTAATAAAACGTTTATAATTTTATTATTTTTAAAACTATTGAAACATTCTTCGCATTTTTTTAAAAAAAAAGAATTAAAAAATGTATTTTTTTCCCCTGATAAATACTTTTGTTTAGTGACGTACTTATATTTTTTTATGAAAAAAATAAATAAAATACGTGCCAATACGATTTTGATTTATAGATTCTTAGCAACGAGCATTATAGAAATGTTGCAAAAATAAATAGATAAGCTGTTTACTTGTAGGATTCTGTAGCTCTTGGATGGAAATAATCATCTCGTGAAAATAATAAACTTGGATGGAAATAATCTGTTTGAAACAGATTGATCTTTTCGAAGCATGGTCTTGTGACTGAAGAATCATTCATTTGTTCTAAAGATATTTTTTTAAATATGAACCAAGTTACGATACACTGCGGAACAATGCCCCCCCCCCCTTGAATCATCGCTAAGTGGGTCGCTAGGATGAGCAATGATTTTTTATGTATTGCAAGCGGCACAGAAACTCCATTTAAGGTAAGTTCTTATTTCCTTCATAACTGTGCCTATTGGATAATATGCGTGATTTTTTTAAATGTTGATTCCTTGTTTATTTCGATATAAATTCCTGTAATTATGTTTTGTTTTCTCCGCTTTTTTAATATGTATATGTATATGTGTATATGTATATGTATATATGTATATGTATATGTATATGTATATATGTATATATGTATATGTAAATATGTATATGTATATATGTATATGTATATATGTATATATGTATATGTATATATGTATATATGTATATATGTATATATGTATATGTATATGTATATGTATATATGTATATGTATATGTATATATTCATATATAAAAGGTGTATTATACACAATTGGCACACCAAAAAAAGTTTCGTCAAGGGTCACCTTCAAATATATTTGTTGCCGTTGTTTCTAATACCATTTGCAACACGGGCAAGCCTGCTTGGTGAAACCGAGCAAATTTAAGGCAGAGTGTGCGTTTCTTGTTTTTCAGTGGCGCCATCCTATGGCCTATAATTCGTCTTCAGCCACACACACGTCACAGCCCGTTTTTATTGGGTGGACCCATTCACGCATCCATTCATTCATTTACAGAACGTAATTTTGACTTGAATCAGAGGACGATCGATCTCCAGTCCAGTACCCACAGAGGTATTAATTTGTTATGCGAACATGGAGAACTTTGCGACTCGGCAGATTTAACGTCTTCGGCCGGCGGGGTTCAAACCCATGACCTCTCGGACATGGGCTCAGCGCCCTACCGACCTATCCCTGCCCTTCAAATATATTTTTAACCAAAGAAATTGCATGCATTAAAATAAATAAAGAAAAAAGTAATTGCTTGTATATTGAATTTTTTTTTAATTGTTCTAGTGAAACAATGCATAACGTTTGTTGGTTAATTTTTATTTTTAAATATGAAAATCTGTGAAACTAAATTCATCCTTGGTGGATGGCAGAAAATTCCTGTACGATTATATCTTTTTATTTATTTTTGTTTTCCAGCATTTTTGTTTTCTGGCTTTTTAATAAATATTTTTTTAATTATTTTATTTTATTTCATTTCAGCAATCTTTCTTCCTCTCTTTTCATTAATTTTAATATTTTTCTTGTTTTCTCTATATTTTTAACTTATGTGTTATACATATTTGCAGCTTATGAGCAGTAAATAAAACTTATTAATTTTCTCAACTGAAATATTAATATAAATAAACTCACTTTTCTTTAAACTTTAAAATTCCAAAGCTGAAGAATGAAAAGCGCCTCCCTCGGTATAATCAGTTCCTTGAAAAGAAGACCATCAACCCATAAAGGTGAATGACGAATTTCGGTCAATGATTTCCTGGACGAACTTACCAGCATCGTTCGAAATATGATATCCTCAACAACCGCGAGCAAGTTTTCGAACATGTTACACCTTCCAATATATGTTTCATGTGTAATATTCCAAAATATGAAAGAAACATAGTTCATTCCACTTAGAATATTCCTTTATTCAATTTTACTATGAGATCAACAGAGTGTTTGAAAAAAAAAAAGTAAATAGTTTTTTATTTATAATTCTAAATAGTTAACAAATACTTTATTTTATCTCTTATTTACTAGGAATTGAATATCTTATCTATTAAATTAATACGATGTTTAATAAAACCATAATGACTGACAATTTTTAACAATCTGGATTCGTCAGTGCTATTCGATTATAGGTCGTAGAACAATATTTATCATCAATGTATACAATGTTATTATTTGTATACTGTATACTTGTTACATGTTATGTTACTGTTAAAGCTTTAAAATTATTAATATGTAATTACCTTAGCTAATCTGCAAATTTAACTTAGGGTGATCAGTTAAAGTGCGGAATCAAGTGTTCCGCAATTTACCCAATGGTTTTCGTGTTGTTGAAGTTAAAAAGTTTGTGTCCCCCATTCCATCAACTTATGTGTTAAATAAATTTACGTTCCTAAGAAACTGAAATGGAAAGACATATTTGATTTAAAAACGTGCATCAAAATATTAAAGATGCTCATTAGAAGTCTACATTTTCCCTTCATTCGCCTTTCTCGAGCGCTGCGGTTTTCAAGAATTTTTTTCTTCACTCATGGCTACCGCGATTTTTTATTTTTTAATTTTTCACCTTTTTTCTTCTCTTTTTTCATAGTGGGATGCTGGCAACTTTGCATTCTCTGTTTCTTTTATTACGGTTCACTTTTTATTATTATTTTTATTCCTTTATTCGTTTTTTATTACCCTCTTTAATTGGTTGGTTGTATTTATTGACTTGATTCTTTTGGTATTGAAAAATAAATAAATGACGGAAACGTTACTGTCATTCCAGAAATGATCCTTTCATTTTAACGAGCGTTGTGGAGTATTTGCAATTTAATTCGGTTATTTGAGAAGTGATACAATTTTTTGGTACTTTACCGGAATTAATTCGCACACTACCTAGATAATCTCTAGAGAAGACATTTTCTACATTTATATTTAACTTTAGTAACGCAATATTCGGGTTCTTATTGATAATAATGAATCCATAGCAGTAATATGCCGAAACAGATTATCATTAATGATACAGTAAAACTGATGAATAATGATACAGTAAAACTGATGTAATAATACACTGAATATCAAAATTTAAAAAAAAGGAGAAAAAAAAATCAGGAAAAAAACTCGGTAGCTATCCATTCTTGAAAGTTTACCCATCTTCGAACAGGTGCTATTCGATTTATTTAGATTAAAACAGAATCAATTCTATTTATCTGCATCCCGAAATTTTTTCAAAAAATTCTTTTAAGTTCCAATTCTTATGCGAAAAACTTTAATAAATTAAAAATTTTAATAAATTCTTATGCGTTCTATTTATTGATATTTGTTTGGGATCAAATTGATGGTGTTCTATTCGATTAATTTAGATTCAAATGGAATCTGTTCTATTTATCTATATCCCGTATATCATATAAGAAATTTCGAATAAATAATTTTCGACATACTCGTGAGAAAGTGCCTTAAAAAATTGGTTTTCAAAAAAAAGAAGAAAAAAAAGCGTTTTGTTCGATGATGATAGATGGTTTCAGCTTGCGAAATACTGTTTGCAAATTATTTATTGTTAAAGAAAAGTTCTTTTATACAAATATGAAGAAAAGGTGATACAAACTATTCCAAAGTGAATTGTCTTCTTTTACAAGAGATTGGAGCAATTGTATGCCAAAAAGAATTTACATTGAATCGTTTCACAGTGTAAACTCTTAATGACAAGGTAATGAAGTTAATTCATCTTGAATGGTGCCAAATTCGTGCAGGCCCCACAATATTGAACAAAATGTATCGTCCGTCATTTCCTCCATTTACGTGAACCCACGTGACCTTTCCATCATCATAAAGGCAAACAAAGGCACGCGCAATAATTCCTTAATTATTTTTCTATGTGTGTCTGTAATATTATACATTCAGGTAGAAACGAAGTAATAGTAGGAGTGTGTGTGTTTCTTGTGGTTTAGATTGAAGTTAAATGTTATCCATTTTTGTTGTGTTCGTAAAATATCAAACCAGGAATGTGAAATAAAATAAAATATTTAATTTATTTGTTTTTTGTCTTCTATATACCACATTCTTTAATTTTATTTTCTCAAAAGAAAAAAACACTTTCACGGAGGAATGAAAAATAACTAGTGTCCATTTAAGAAGTGAATTTTCTTAAATAAATGAATAAATATTGAAGTTTAAATAAATAAATATTGAAGTTAAATGTTATCCTTTTTTGTTGTGTTCGTAAATTATCCAACCAGGAAAGCGAAATCAAATGCGGATTAGTTCCATCAAAAAGTCCTCCTCGAAGGCAAATTTCTCCTACTACTTGATCCAAGAGTTTCATTGTCTTCTGGATTGGGTTCAAAATTACAAGGCTACAGAGTTGAACATTAGTAGTCGTAAACCCATAAAATTGGGTCGGCTGTTCAACGACGATTATAAAATAAAATATGTTGTAGACAAACGCATTGCCGAAATTTCATTACTCCACAAATGATTTTTCTTGGTGTTGAGATTTTGTTTTCCCATTAGTGTGTATCATCATGTGCCGATCGGCTTGTGTAGGGGTCAGGGAATAAGCCTTGCATCAGAAAGGTTCTGGGTTCGAATACCGGACAAGACATGGATGTTCTTTCCTTTTCTGTCTTATCTGTCCTTACTATGGGAGCAACGTTGGCCTTCCTAATAGGGTACGCCTGAAAGAGTGGCCAACAAATCTGCCCTTCAGATGCCTGAATGACGAAAGGTCATTCTCCAAGTGGGCATTGAAAAAGAATACATATTCTCATGTATGGTCATCGACTTCATCAGTGTAAAATGTGTGTTCATACTCTTTGGCATGCTGAGAAAAAAAATACGGTCAAAACTACCTGAATATGAAAAAATTTGTCGTGTTTCTCTGCCTCTCTGGGAACATCAGAAGCACTTTGGTCAGAATTATGTTAAAATTAACAACAAAATTTGGTTTTCTAATATGAGATAAATTTTAGTAAATGTGGTTAAACTGGTAATTTTATCATGATACTTAAAGGATGGCATAAAAACCATTTATTCGATTAAATTTATATTTCAGTTTTGTATTTTTTACCAAATGTGTGGAACCAAGAACTAAATTATAGAAAACCAGAATTTCCGCTAAACTCTTACTATATGAACGGAAAAATTAACAAATGAATTGTTTAAATACCTCATATTTTGGTTTCATTTTCTAGAATTTAGGTTGTTTTTTTTTTAAAAAAAAAAAAAAAAAAAAAAAAAAAAAAAAAAAAAAAAAAAAAAAAAAAAACTGAAATGTCATACCATACTGTATGGAAATTTGCAGTAAGTTCAGTTTATAAATATTAAAGATGAAATATTTGTTGATGACTAATTATATTTATGGCAATATTCTTTAAAGCACTAATTTTTTCAGCAGTTTTTTTTTGTTTTTGTTTGTTTCGTCTGTTTTTGTTTCGTTTG